CGATGTAACGGACCGTCAATATAACGGACAAAAGTACTGGTCCCGAGCAGTCCGTTATATCGACTTTCACTGTGTATACGCTATCATTAACATACGCGTAAAATATCGTAACTTTAAATGGTGAAAATGTATCCCCCGGATGTGTTTCGGGTATCTTTTTTTTTCATCTCGATGAAAGTAACCGCGTTTGATTCGCGATCTCAATGTCGGTGAGGGTTCAGTAAAGGCCTTGTGCACTTTACTTCAAGACGGCGTTCGATTGTAAGCCTGGGGGTAAAAGGTGCAAAACAGGAAGCACTTTTTGCACTTCTATCGTTGACTTTATCATAGTGTTTAATATACCTACTATCTAAGTTGACAAGCTTATAGTCTCCTCTTTGAAGTTCCTGAGCAATAGCGTCGGGACCATGTGCGCTGAATGAAAACCTCAAAACTCCGGGGGTATTGAAGATGACTGATTCAAAAGGAAAATTAGCAAGTTAGAAAAACTTTCAAAAAAATAACACTGTAATACTGTAAAATTTGCATACTCTGAGCAACGTTATTTTCCGTGATATTTCTAGCAACAAGGCCCGGCTGACTATGTTCGACGATCAACAACAGATCGCTGCTGAAGAGTATCCGCATTTCGCTTCGTGTCTCTATCACGCTCTAAGACTCCGATACTCTACTAACATTTTGGCATAAGTTCTCCCTCATTAACAAAATAATATTTAAATTTAAACAAAATAACGATAAATTCACAATAGTTTCGCAATGATCTCGTCGTGGTCGTCGTCGTCCTTGTGTTTGTTTATTATAATATTCTGATAAGAGCATTCACGTCTTCGTTGAAGTTTTGGCAATTAATTTTTCTTGAACGTATCGTCGTTAGGGAGACGTGTAAACTGCTTTTCCTTGCAAGTTCTAAGAGTTGCAACTACGGTATACCTGCATGTTAAAGTAACTAATAGCAAGAGCCAAAGTGGCCCGCAGCAAGTTCCAAATATGAATAGGGGTAAGGGGATGGTGAATAAGATCAGGAGCGTAAACAAGTCTTGAGAGAATAATATTGAAGAATAGGTCAAGTTTTTATAATTATCGCGTCGTTATATATCATTGTGAGCCAAAAAAGAAAATAAATAATTACGTTTTTACGTTTTCCATGTGCCACGATCAGATGATACATATTGATAAAAGGAGGCGCAGAGCGCTCAGCAGATGATAATTTGATAAAGGGGGAATTTTTTGTCCTTTATACTAGTCGCACATAAATCGAATAAAAAATTAATAATGCGACCAAGAGGCGATGAATAATTCTTTTCGAATTGAAAGAGTATTTTGCATAGTATATAATCGATCCAAGTGGGTATAACCCAAAATCGATATAATTATTACAACGTCGTATATTCAATTACTGAATAAGGGACTATACAAGGAATATAAAAACAATTATTGACCAGAAACTTGTTATGCGTAAATTTTTGACTAATTCCGCAGCATTTGTGCGCCACAAGATTCGTGAGTTGTTTGTAACCTTAATCCTACTTTCCGTCACATTACATCCTTTTTCCGGCTTAGGCTTGCACATCGTTTTCCTTATCTGAAGGAAAATTCTTTTTGCTATATGTGAGACTCGTGTCGTTATACTAGAATGGAGAAAGAAGATCAACATAATTATATCACAAAGTAACTGAACAAGGAGATGTCAATGCTCAATTTAATCTTGGTGGGTGTTATGAGAATGTAATTGGAGTAGAGGAAAATGAACAGAAATTAGTGGAGTTGTTTAAGAGAGCAGTTGAACAAGGATATGCCACTGCTCAATTAGGTCTTACTTTATTATTATGTTATAAAAATGGAATTGGGATGAACAAAAAGCAGTTGAATGTTAGGATATGCCAGTGCTCAATTTAATCTTGGTCTGTGTTATTACAAAGATTATTTCAAACACATAAAAACACATATTGAACATTTTTGTTGTTAACAATCATCAATTGGTGTATGGTTAGAACTTATTATTATATTGTAAAGACATGTTCTAGCAACAAAGAATGTAGGTATTCAGATTAGTCATACAACAAAATACTAGCAATACTCAATAAAAATGGACATTGTATCCACACAATGCATACCAACTTACCACACTAATTCTAACATCAATCACAAAAGATTTCATTGATCAAGTCATGTAAGGTGTTGTGGACAAAGGTGTCTTCATTATCTTTATTATATATTAATAGCAATAGGGCCTAACAATATTGAATTAATTCAATTAATGAAACACCTACAATTTCATAATATGATTAATACTTTTTCCTGTATAAAAGTCCAATTTAAAAAGTTGATCTCTTTCAGATATGAATGGTCAATTTCGATCCCGAATAGTATATAGTAATAGATCATCTGTAATATATCGTTTCCAAGCATTTCCCTCCGTTTTCTTAGCACAGTAACAACAAGTTTGATTAATTCGTAATATTTATTACAGACTCGTTGGAAATGCTTGAGATTTTCCGGCCATTTTTCATTATTCCCAACATCTAAAAAAACACATTGTTTAATTTTGAGGAAATTTGAATTTTAATATTTTTCCCAACCTTGAAAAACTGTTGATGCAAGAACAATCAATTACGGAACATAATTTAAAAAATTGCAGAAAATTGACAGAAATTCAAGCCAACAATAATTTAGGTAAAGGAACGCTACAAAATATCATACATCCAAAACATTCTCAATCAACTGCATCACAGCAATGCGCAATACACCCTCAGCTGTATATATCTAAATTTAAAATTTAAATAGTTTATAGCTATCGCTAAAATAAAAATATTGATTATCTGACAAAATCGCAAATTGATATATTTTGCGTATTTTCTACTTTTGCAGCGATTTTTGTTTATAGTTATAGGAGACGCAAACACTTTTTCGTTGGATAAGGCGGGAGCGATAATTCGAAAGAATGCGGGGTGCTGATACAGCTCGAATTTTGAATACACCCAAACATGTAGAACAACCAGCTGTTTATATCCATGATGCGCGATAATAGAAACAAATATAATAGTACTAATTTACATAGTACAATAATAATTTATACTTTAATTCGGAAATTAGTAAGTATAAGCACTTGTTAGTATTAGATCTACAATCGACCCTCGTTTATCAGGATTAAGCAAGATCGGTCCTTACATGACACCTTGCCATTATAAACTAACGAAGTTAGGTATCCCTAACGGACTTCCAATAACTAGCGCCATTATTCCGCTTATTGGCAATAACGTTAAATACTATTATATATTTATTCACAGCATTTTTTTAAGAACATTTCGGCAGCGATTTCTTTCTGTTGAAGTGCTTAATATATACTTTGACTCAATTCAACGCACAGTAACTCTCGATATTACGTTTTCAATGAAATAAATTTGACCTAAAATGATGGGGTTTTCCGGAACAACGTCAGTTATACTAATTATAGCGATTATTATTGTTATCAATTTCGCGATATAACGTTGTAATGATGTGCGATGTATGGAAAACAATTGATCTCTCGATATACTGAAGCGTGCAAATGCGAATTCCATACCGTCACATTAAATCCAATGTTTCAACTCCTTTTTATAATTAAAATCAGATGAAAGATAAAAGTATGGTTAGTAAAAAACCTGCAATAAAGCAAGTCGCTTTTACCAGTGTTCAAAAAAAATATTTCTAGAAAAGAAAGTTCAATCTAACTTGACTCTGACAGAGCTTTTGCTAAATTAATGACGCTTACATGATGCAAACATAATATTTGCGCTATATCAAAATTTTGGTTATAATAAACTCTTAATAACATGAGATGTTTTCAGAATTGTAACTAGGTACAATATAATTTATATAATAAAATGTCCAATTCATATATTAATATTAGTATGGCTGATAACCACATACTCGGACTTTTTGTGAAAAAACTCAATGACTAATGCTGATTGTTATATTCTAAAAATGCAAGTACATTACAGTCAAGCTGTTCAAACGATCTCTTTAACGCGCCTTTATATGGCACATCAGAACCACTCTGTTATAATAAGTAGGTGTTTTTTGAGCATTTATTTAAGGACATATCTGCAATGTCATTATCAAGCGAATAAATTCTTCTTTTCTTCTACGATCAATTTATCAGCGGAAAGCATACGTTTTCGCAAAACAAGCCATTAAAAATCAATTGGTCGCCTAGATTCAAACATCCGTCTACTATACTTGAGCCTCCTCCTCCGCATTAATACCCCTTACCGTATCGACTATATCCTTAACAGTTGTTTCTTCCTCATGTACCAGATTCTCATCGATGTTAATAAAGTAATGCGACTTCGTTATTTACATCACTTTGCTGGGAAGCATTTTTTCGTTTATTATTTAAATTAATAGAGCCATAAGTCGACATCATGTTAAGTTTGTAGATTTGCTAGATATGTGTAGCGGAAAATGGGAAAAGAATCTTATTCTCATACGTATCAAATATTCATCATTTAGCATGATGAACACGCATCTTTATACTTTTGTCCTAGAAATGTTACTGTTCCAAACGCCTTGATAAGATAAATTCTTATCGTTTCATATCGTTGGCTCCAAATGTTACGGTAAAGATTTATCAAAGCGAGTAGAATCAATCATAGTCCACTTGACTAAGCCTGTAAATATTCTCGACGAACAGCCAGAGAATAAACCGTTTATTATTAATAGCTCGCCCCAGTTAGGATTACTGTTGACAAGATCGTATTCGACACCCTCCAAGCGTTAAATGCCAATCTTTTACTTGATTGTATGCTGATTAATTTCTCGTTTTCTTTTCCGGATATAGCTGCGTTATGACCTATTTTCCATGCACACATATTTTTATTAATTCAAATTTTGCTTTCTCCTTTATTCGGCACGACGATTGCTTTCCCATAAGTCGCTCGATTAGCTACAGCTTTGAGACCATCTCTGACCGAATCTAACCCATAATACACTTTATGATATACAACTGGCTTTACTCTTCCTTGTCTGAATAGATGAAGTAGACCGTCCCATACCCGTGGTATGGTTTCCTTCTCATAGCGAGAATACGACCCCCAATATAACCCTAAGATGGAACAATTTTTCAGAAGCACTCTGTTCATTGCCACTTTCTCAATAGTTCCAGCCGCAAAACCAATCACAAGCAATCGACCAGACCATGCTACGTGGTTAATATTATGAGATTGTAAATGTAGAGACTCGTAATACTTAACATTGACTGGTTACAACTCTAGCTAGAAAAACATCGATAACGTACCGATACATTTCATTGATTCCTGGACCATTCCAATCGGATCATATACGACGTCAACGCCGCGTCCAGATGTGATCTTTATAATTTTATTAACCCAATCGTTTTGTTTATAATTGACAACATAGTCTGCCCCATACTTGGCGGCAATCGCCAGTTTCTCATCTGAGCCACCAGTTGCAATGACTTTAGCACCTAATGCCTATAGTAAACAAATATACAATGAGTTTGCAACATTACCAGGCATCCGCACGAATATAGAAGCATATTGTCACCTTTGCGATTTGTACAGCCGCGATCCCAACTCCACCAGCCCCTCCGTGAACAAGACACCATTCATCTACAATAACCATAGTCACCCAAAATAAGGGCATTTCAGCAATTATCTTACTCACATATTATTGTCTCCTCCACGACAATCTTTCTAACTCTAACCTTTCTTCAGATCAGCCCTTAACACGAGAGCGGCATAGCTTGTGGGATACGTAATATAAAGACCGGCTGCTTCAACAAAGCTCATACCTTCCGGGATTACAATCACATTGGAGATTTGTGCTACAATGCGCTCGGCAAATGCACCCTGGCCACTACCGAATACTCTATCTCCTGGTTTCAAAGTGGTCTTGGCACCAGGGCTGACTTTTAATATTACGCCGGCGAACTGCGAAATCGATAGACGTAAAGCGAGGAAGTTGGAAGGATTTATCAAAGTAGAGATCATAAACAGAAATATGAATAAAATTACCTCTGCACCCGGAATAAAAGGAAAAGGCGGTTTGTCCTGATATTTTCCTTGAACCTTTTTATGATGGAGGTGATTCAAAAGATGATCAAGTTTTAAAGACGATAATTCTGTTCAATCAACCTGTATGACATTTACCAGTAAAATGTCAAAGAAATTCAACGCTGCAGCTTTAATTTCAACCAAAATTTGGTCTTTTCCCAATGTTGGCTCAGGAGCGTTGGGGTCAACGACCATTTCGTCGATGGATCTTAGCCATCGGTCTTTGACTACAATTGCTTTCATAATTCTGTATAAGTCGTGTGAGTCAGGGCATGGATAGCATTAATAATAGGGCGTGCAACGTGCCGCATATTGGCTGATTGACAATTCATGTGATCGCTGTCATATTACCGTTACTATATGACAGAATCAAATACCGTTGCAAATCAAAACAGCAAATACCAGTGTTTCGTATATAAAATAGTTTTTGATACTAAAATTATATCTATCTGCTGTGTTGTCAATTTGAGTAAACTCTGTGATATCTTACGTATCGTTTAATATTAATCACTTGTTTATTTCCTTTCCGTCTTATTAATCGATAACGTGTTTTTGAAAATACGATATAATCCAGCGCAAGATAAGTTCTATACTTACCCATTCTTAACGTTAATCTACATATTAATATTATTAATTATATATTATAGGACGGGAGTAGAGTAAGAGTGGACGCTTTGTATATTGGAAGAGATGTTATCAATATGCTATAAATGCGTAATATCGGTTATTGATAACTTCATCCAAAAAATAAATTTACAAGTCGATAGCTTTAGTAATGTCTTTTAGTTGAACACTTATTGTTACAGTTGTAATGATTGCGTGAATAGTAATAATGGTTTAAGTATAAGTCAGGTAATAGAAAATAGTAATATAATAGTTAACAAATAATCCTAGTAAAGTAACATATCACCCAATAGTTTCTTGAATAAATTGCATTTAGTCTTTGCGACTGGAGGTGTGGTTTTGAAAGCAAGAACATAAAAAGATTGATTCTCTATGATCTCCAATAATTACAAGCGGGAGAAGAAACTAACTATAACGCAAATTTAACAATAACAATGAAAACCGG